TTATGAAATTGTTCTTGTGTACCCATCATAGATTTGTTTCTCTTTTTTAGTGTTGCCCTGCTGTGTAATAAATGCTGTATCTAGTTTACCTAGCAAAAGCTTGAAACTGCTATAGTATGAATTTTGACAAACTTAGTTTTTGCACATAACCTTGTACAATCTCAAAACAGAGGCCAGCGACATAAAAAAATATATCTGGACTCTATTGTATTATAGAATTTTCTTGTTCTGAATATCCTTGACATTACAACTGATGACAAACGTATTTCAGAGCCATTTTCTGAAATCTTTTAAGCTAAAAAAGAAAAATCACATGCAAGAAACAAATTTGCAGCTACTAATTTTGACACCTTTTAGATCTGTATAAAAGTGTATTGTGTTGAAACAGCACACTGAAACAAAAGTGCTGTGTTTTGAATATTTAGTTTTATCTTTAGTTAACACCAACAAGGTGTTGTATTCATTTATACCATCTAATATATGACACACTGTTGTAGTATGTATAATTTTGTGATCTTTATTTCCCTTTGTATTCTTCATTTAAGCATCTAAATAAATTGCTGTATTGTGCTTAATGTAAATATTTGCTTTATTACATGCAAGTGCTACATTCCTGTTCGGTAAATCCCACCTTGCTACGTTCATTCCTTCCCCCCCAGGTGCTCCACAGCTCTGCTGGGGCCCATCTGTATAGTCCTTTCTTACTGAATAGACTGATCTCCTTCAAGAATATTGGAAATCCTACAGAACTAACTTTGGCTGAATTTGTCTTTACTATTTAGCATTCTAGAACACTAATTTATAAATAGGATTGTAGTGATTTGCTTGTTCTGCATCACTTGCATTTTTCATCCCTTTGTACTTACATGAAGGGATATCACTTTCACATATTAAAAAGTTCTCTAGAACTATGTCTTGAGGGTAAACGATAGCGGGAGCATGCCTTGCAAGCTCCGGACTTGTTTTGGCTTCGAAGAAAAAGTAATTTGAATACTAAAAAAAAAAGTTTGTTAAAATTTGTGATTGGCTTGGTCAAACCAGTCCTGCATTTTGGCAAGCGTGCAGTACAACAGACAGCTGCATAACCAAAACCTCATCGAGAGAATAATTTACTGAAGGGAATCTAATTGTGATGAGAACAAAACTATTCTTAATTAGAGCGATGAGTTTGATTTAGGTGTATGTCTAATAAGTATCAGAGTACCTACCTTTTGATACTTTACAAGACCTAAACTGACCTGTGAATTTTTCATTAATGTTATAAAGGAGGAAATAGTTCTGTGCTCTTCAACCATTCAACAGAGATCTTGAGAAAACATTTGGATATCTCTATAGCAGTCTTGGGTAGGTATAAACTGTACTTTCCACTAGTATAACAAACAAGCCACTATGTAAGCCAAAGGTGAGAATATGTGTATGCTCTCATGTTCTGCAACTAACTTGTGCTGCTGACGCTCTTTGGAATGAGCATTTCTGGGGTTTGTTGAACTAATTATGTGTGCAAAGTGATGACTGAAAACAGTTACCTTTAGATGAAGATGGTTTAGATTTGTCTTGTTCTTCCTTTCCCCCTTCACAGAAGGGACACATACTTTCGTCTGCTTTTTTAACTGAGCGGAGTGGAAGTTGGAATGGCTCCCAGTTATGCACTCAAGTGGTAGAAGATAGGTTTTAAGAACAATACGGGAAAAATACTTTTGACATTTACATCAGCAAAAGTTTCTCTGCCTTAAAAGAAAACTGGAGCCTCAACTCATTTTGTTAGCAGGCTTTCCAAACTATTTCATTGAATATAACTTTTCAGTAAATCGGCTGAGAGTTTGTTAACTACTACTTATAGATGTCAATGGGTTGGTAATCTTTTTCCCAACAAAACCAGGCACTCCAAGTCCTAGAAAAGGTTATTCCTTGCTAAGAAAACTTGGTTATGTTCCTTTCTCCCTCTGTAGGCTGCTCTATTTCATGTGAGGCTGCTGTCTGACAGCTTCAGACATTTTAGAGTTTTTGTGTCATTTCATCTAGGCTTTAAGGGATTTTTCAAATACATTTTTTAAAAACTTAAAAAAACCCAACAGTTTAATGGTAGTACAACAACCCTTATCTGTTAAGCAATGAAATAAAAGATTGGGTAGCATCTTGTGAATCTGCATCATATTTGTCTCAATATCTGGCAAGGTTAATTTAATATTAGTGAACTCTACTTAAAGTCAAATTTCCAAATTCTGAGCTCTTGTTTGTAGTCAGTGACTACTAAGACTATGAACTCTAAACTCTAGAAATGCTTCATTTGCCAGAAAATTCCATGATAGGAAATACCATTTTATATAATGATTAAATTAAAGGTCTTGCACAAAAATAGTCTGTCTTACCAGGAATATCAAGAAGGATTGGGGGTGGCTGTTCTAAGTTTTGGCATAAACTTTCTAGCATTTCAAGTTACTCTTCAAATCTGGATTTTAGCCTAGGCAAGAATTCCTTTCTAGATTTGAGGCTAACCACACATTTTTGAGGAATTCAAAAAGCAGAAGAGGTAAATGGCCCAATAAAACTGGAGGAACCTTAAACCTAGTTTGTGTAATCTTAACTTACCACACAATTATAATTGTATGAGATGGAAGTTAGCCAATTTTTACATACATTACTGAAATTCAGTAGCAGAATTCTAGAAACATGCCAGCTGTGCTTGCAGAGTAGACATCTCAAGCTGACACTTACATTCTTCTGCTGTCTTCCGTGGCAGACCTTGAAAACACCAGTCTGTCCAGGCTTTGGCCAGCACAACAGAGCAGAAAGACCATTAAGCCTCTTCTCTAAAGAATTTGTTTCAGCCAGTTTACCTGAATTGCAGCGAAGCGAAGTGTGTTTTCCATCTTAAATACGCTATCTGAAATCTAAAGGTTGTAACAGTTGAGAATGAAGTAGGAGGTTATTAGCATACACATTGTTTCTAGACACAAGACAGCTTTGTACAACAAAAACTCTTTTAGAGCTGGCATGACCTGTAATTTGACTTTTGATGAATACCTGAGAGTGGCAAGGACAGTCTGAGATTGTTAAGGGTAGTTGCATTTTATATGACACTTTATTTCTATGGGTGTTCATATGGGCTTGTAATAACTGTTATTTTGAAGCATTGTTCATCGCACTGACCTGCAGCGGAGATGCAGTGGTTCAACAAGTACACTTTTCCTCCTTCTTTTAGTACACTCCTCTCCTTCCACCCCCCACCCCCCCCGCACACACACACTCACACACACTCCTTGATGCATAGGTACAGCCAATAAGCTTTCCTCCAAACTAAACAGTTATTTTCCAGCAGGGACAGACAGACAGCTTTTGCTAAACTCCTAGTTTTCTATTCTGTGCATCGGACACTAAAGTCACACTTGATCTCAGCATTTTCCTTTGGGTACTGTGACTTAACCCTTTATCTACACTAGGATTTCTACTCAATCAAAACCTTTTACATGATGATGCAGAAATATCTGCATTGAAGTTTTATTTCAACAAGCTCTTAATCTTACTGAAAGTTCAAGTGACATTTAATGCTGCCATCCTCTGTTCAGCAGTAACATTTCTGCAGCAAGAACTTGCCAATTAATATTTGACCCTTTGACATGTATTTTCAAGACAGAAACCTGAATATTCACCCAGTATTTTTATAGGAAAATTCTATCAATCATTCTTGCCACCAAGAAATTGGTAGGTTTCAAATATCCACTAATACAGTAAACAGTTTACCATTATGTAGTTCATATATTTCATACACTGCAAGTTTATTTCAATTTTTATCAGAACCAAAAGATTTGAGGAATATGTTGTGTGTACTGTCTCTTCATTTCTGTTAATGAAGAAGCTGATATTTGGATAAACAGGTTGGTATAACGAAGAGTATTTTGTTCCTTTCATAACTAACTGGCCTCTCTGTAATACCAGCTCCTTCGTAATAATCCATTATAATAACCTGCATTGCAGGGGCAGAGACATTGACTAGGTCTGTCTTCTGTTGCTTTATATTTTAATTCAAATTTATCTTTCATCATCAGCCCCACTAATAAATATGAAAAGGTTGAGTTCATTTATTTCTGCATCAGAAAAGCATTGGTCTCCATGGTTACTCAAAGCCATGTAGCTTTACTTTCCCCATAAGCTTTCCCCCCGCCCCTTACAGAATTTGCATTGGGTCCTCCATCTTGAGTTTTTCCACAGATATTTTTTAAACGAGCATTTATTTCTCTTTCTCTGTATTGTACTGTATGCAAAGCCAATCATCTGAAAAGTATGTAACCTTCTCTTCCTAATGTTCCTTATTCAGAGAATTGAGTGTTTTTTGTTTCTCTAGACCTATTTTGCAGTCAAAAAAAAAAGCAAGCTACAGTTGCAGAGATGAACTATGCTACTCCTGGTCCTGGCTAAATAGCATCTGCATTACAAAATTGCACATCCAAAGGTCCATAACAGAAAGTTTATTTATACCAATTCAAATTATATTACACAACAGCTTTTAAAACCCTATTCCTAGTTTGAAAGAGAGTGCTGGAAGCTTCAGCCATGTGCAGTTTATTGAATTTTAAAATTTTGACATTGACTTCATGTTCTCTTGTAAAATCTGAACATTTGTGCAATTGTGAAGCTGGCAGTATTGGCATATTACTTGACAGTTTTAACATGCTACACTAGAGCACTCTTCAACATTCTGATCATTTTAAGTATAAAAATGGGAAGGTAAACAAAGTGAGGTTTTGTACATGTTTTTCATTGATTTAGGAAGCTTATCAAGTAAGTGCAAACTACTGTGATCAAATCTTAGAATAAATGTTCCAGCCTCCATATAGCTACAATATGATCAGAAATTTTTAGCTTCCCTTAGAGATGCTAGCCAAAGATCTGAAATGTAACAGTTGCTTCTTCCTAATGGCATAAAGTATGTACTGTAAGAATAAACCCAGGCAGCCTTTCCTAAAAACCTTTTGGTAGTGAAAAATTACTTATTTTGATACTTAGTACCTACATAGCTCATAGGAAAAAAAGTCTTCAGTTCGGTAGAGTTTTGGCAGGTCACAGGAGTGTGCTGCTGATAGAGGATGTCTCTGAAACAAGAACAGGACAGAAATTAATCTTATTGTTAAAGAACAGGAAATAATACTTTAAGGAGTTGACCATGTAAAAGAGACACGGGGTGGGGAGAGGAATCAGTGTCCCAGAACTGAAGTTACTTTCCAATACAAGATAATTGGCTCTGTAAACAATGCTGAAAGTGTGAACTTGTTTGTTTTCACACCTGATTCTACAGACTTTGCAATCATCTTAGCTGGATTAATATTGAACAGATAAAATTAGAGTAGAACACAGGGGAAATTAGTTTTAAAGCACAGAAAAATGCAAATGAATTAGTAATGCTGGAAAATACTGACTACAGAAGAAATATAGAAAGGGATTTGGTTTTGCTTCTAGGGTTTTTAAGAATTCAAATAATTGATTAATCCTGAATTGAGATAAAATAATATTTCTGTAGTGCAACAATTCAAACCTCTAGCTAAAATCACAGTCTCAATGGAAAATGAAGAGCCTATCCCTCCCATAAAGCTAACGGTCTTCAGGCTCTAAACTTAACATATTTCCAGAGAATAGTTTGCTATTTAGATGTAGTCCTCACATTTTTTTGTATCCAATTCTTATTCACGCGTTTCAAGCTGTGCATCTGGTTACAAACATTGCTTGATAGTATCCAGTGCTAATTCTTCGGAGTAGAAAACTGGCTCTCCATGTACCTCTAGGCACAATTTAAGAAGTAAATATTCATTTATACTGTGACGTAGGTACTGGCTACCAAAGCTGCGTTGTTGTGCTGCCATTGTCAGAACAGGCAGGATGAATGGGGGTTCTGCTGACAAACTCTTGATATGCACATCTCGGAGATCAAGACCGCGTTCTCAGAGAAGGGCACTTGCTACCTATTAGGATATACAAACTTTGCTATGGGGGAGAAACATACTTCTGGGTGATAATCATCAACAGATACATGTGGTTTTGAAGTTTTCATGTGCAGACCCAAGCAAAAGGAGATGGACTCCTTTTAATGGGCAGTATACTAGAATTTTTAATGTAAAATGTAAGTTTTTTCATCTAAGATTGAAAATCAACAGTCACAATCACTGAGTAAGACAAGATGAAGAATCTGAATTGATCATACAAGAACTACCGGTGACAAGGTCCACCTCTGCAAAATAGGAAGGAGAAAAAACCCTAAGCAAAGAAGCTGCGAAAATAGCCAGCTGTAACAATTCACAGGGGAATACTAACATTTTCTGTATTTTCCATAAAATAAAAGTAGAGAGAAAGAAAAGTTAAAAATCACTCCAATTTTCAAAGTAAAATAATCTGTCCTTCATTTCTAGGGCAGTATTGCCAGTGGTCATACCAGGAGAAAACAAGGCAGGAATAGTGTTATGAATGACAGAAATTAAACTTAACAGGCTGAGCGACAATCTGTTTGCAGAAAGCCCCGATCAGAGCAATCAAACTTAACTAAGGACATGAGCTTCTCAAACTGACTTTAAAAGTAGACTCAGGATTTCCCATAGCTCATGAAACCATTGTCCCACTCCGATTTGTAACTGGTTATTTTAGAACTGCTTATTCTTAGCACTTATATCCAGAATTCCTCCAAATAGATGATGCCATGATTGCAATGAGAATTTACTTCTTTTGTTTTAGTTTGGTGGGGGGGAGGGGGGGTATTGTTTTTGTTTTTGAGATCCCTGCAATGGTAGCCTGACACTTTGATGAATAATACCTTATTACTTACATAGTACTACAGGTATTATGATTCATAGATATACTTAGTCCCTTCTGATCTGCGGGTACTATATGTTTTCTATATACTCCCTTGACACAGGTAATTCTTTTGGGTCACTTCCTGTAACTGTGCCATAAATACTTATAAAAGTGACTCCTCCTGTTTTACATCTACCCACACCAAACTTTGATCAAGAACACTCTTGTTGCCAGATTATGTTAAAGGAACTACTTCAATCTTCATTATCTTAAAGTATAGCTGCTGAATCAATAGTAAATGAGAGGCACAGATACCAATCCATATGACTTGACAGTATTTTATGAGGAAGGGGTCTGAGAAAATACTTCTTTCACAATGGTACAAGTGCCACAGAGGGTTAAAAGACAAGGGCATGAGGAATCTCCGTGCTGTGCACATCACACAGACTGAAGATGAAATAATTCCTTTGTGGTCAGGCTGCTGTGAAACTTAAAGGAAAAGTGATATGGTTGCCTGCTGGGGGGCAAGGGGGGCGAGAAGAGGGAGAAAGTGTCTTGAAATTCCAAAGCCTATTGAAGACATCAAAAGAGAAAGGTTTAAGTAGCAGCAAATAGCTTTTCACCTCTCGATCACTTGATTCATGTCTGTCACAATCTAATAAAGGCCAGATTATGGCCTTTATGAAAGTAGGTGCTCTCATTAGGATGGCATCCATACTGTAACATACAACCACTAGTGACACTGACTACAGCAGTAGCTTGCTGAAGGCCAAGTGCCCATACGACTAAACTGTGTTTATGTCTAATCCAGGCTCTAAAGGCCTTGGGCAAGGTTCTGTCATTTCACTGGTGTCTGTAAGCACCTATGGCACCTATTCAAAGCAAACACATAAATCCTTATTTTTCCTCTTAACTTGCCTCTTAGGTCAGGCTTGAGACAGCACAGCATAGTGTAGCAAGCTTACACTGTACCTGAAAAACACAAGCTGAAAACAGATTTCTGTTGAGATGCTCTATACCCCTGTATTCTTTGTCCCAAACTTGGAAACTATTTATTTATTAAGTTAAAGATCCAACAATGAATAAACTGAGGAAATAAAGATTAAAGGAATTATAGAAGAATTTAGCATTTGGAAGGAAGTATAACAGGTTTAGATGAAGCTAGATCAAATAGTAGAAATGAAAGGATTAAAACATTTGAGAGAGCTTTTGAAAAATAAAGTACGTACAACAATTCTGCACTTGCAGGCAAATAAAAGAAATGGCATGTAGAATCATGCCTGAAAGATTAAAACTTCTGGTGGCAGCTTTAGAGACTTTAGTCAGTTGCGTTTTAACAGACAGCCAAGTTATCCAGGGAGACAAGTTGTGTGACATTGTGTCTAAAGCACTGAAAGCACCCCTTGAGAAATACAGTTTGAAGCCCCTAAAAGCCAAGTCTCCAGCTGATAAAGCTAAATACACGAGAGCAGTAAGAAAATGACCCATTTAAGAGCATAGTGGTTGCTCTGACAACTGCAACCCAGCATCAGAACAGCAAAGCTGGGTCAAAAGGTGATCACTTACAGGTTGCATCACATCCAGGAAACAGCTTAATTCACAGACAGTTAGATTGTACCTTCTATTGAAGAAAAATAAATGCTGGGCTGAATGTGTCTGCTTGCTGGGTTTCATTTTCATAGCCAGACTTAAATCAGCCTGCACAACAACATTACATTTAAGGCAAGTGCTCTAAGAATTGCTGATGTGGACACAGAAAATTGTTTCCCCTCTATCCAAGTATCTACAAGATGGTCCAGAAATCCACTTCGGTACTGCTTTTGTAACGCAGATGTAGGGCATCTACCCCTCAGGGACCATGAGCCCAGCCCAGCTAGGCAATTCCGCCCATCCCTGGCTATTCTCTCTCCCAACAGCCTCCCAAACAGATCAGGAACAGGTAGCACTTCACCTGCTTACGTGTATAATAAATACACTCTGGGAAGCAGCTAGGCAAGCACAGTAGGTATGGTCTCTTTCTGGTGCAGGGGCACTGCTACAGCCACCAAGTGCCCCAGCAGAATGGTTTGGCACCATTATAAGGATTTCTGACCCTATTCCAAACAGTATGTTTATCCAGGCTATTTGCAGTGTGCCCGACCATTACAGCTAAAACATTGAGCTATTTGCACAGACAGAGAAAATAGTAGATTACCTGAGAAAAGGAGGAGGGATATTATTTCACATAGAAAAATGAAGTTAACCTTCCACATGCTGTTTCTCTGGAAGCTTAAGAGTAAGAATGAAGGTTCAAGTTACCAGCTGACAGCAATCATTCCAGATCCACCAAAAAAAAAAAAGCCTCCTTTAAGGCTACCAAATTTAAAGCCTTGGTAGTTCAACTTAGTTGTATTTACAACAACTGTACTGGGGTAGTTATCCCTCTGAAATGAGCTTCTGATCAATTCTGCTGCTTCAAAGCAGAGAAAGGAGCAATAATAAAATATTTCGTCCATGCTGCTGGACTGTGGTGCTGACTTTGCTTCAAGTACTATTCATGTTTCCAGAGCTCCTGAATCCATTTCTTTTACATCTGCTGCCTACCACCTGAAACAGCATTAATATACCTTCCCCTTGACACCGATAAACATATTTGCTCCTGTTAGTTTACAGTGAAAGACAGCGAAGCTTCCTGGAGTGGATCAGCACCGCTGCAGATATCCGAAGACAATGAAGCAGCTCAAGGAGCGCTTCTCTACAGAAACCTGCAACAGCAATTTGACCTCTGCTATGAAAGATAAAAGGGGATTCTTGGCTATCTGGCAATAATTATTTTTCAGATTTGGTCATTCTCGCAGGTATTAAAATCAATACCTAGACTGTAGAAATCAAAACAGGGCAAAAACTGAAACCTCTTTCTTCGGCAGCTCCAAATCCAAGCAAACATTCTTACTTTTTTTCCAGCAAAGCTTCAAAAATTACCATTTGGATTCCTCTCGATCTTAATTTTTAATATAATTTTATATAACGGTAAAATAATTTTTATTTCTACTAAAATAGATTTAAAGTTCAACATTAAAAACTTACTTCTTAAAAACCTATCAACTTTGACTTTTCCAACCAGCCTTCTTTTGACTGCTGCCAGCCCACCCAGCACAGTGCTAGCGGACTCTTGTGAGACACTTTTGGGAAAAGTACGAATTAAAGAACCAACATGTTCTTCACACATCAGTTCTGATGCTGAGCACAACAAATCCTCACTCACATGTTCTCTGTTAAACACTTGCTATGCACTGAGAAAGTACATAGGATGTACTTACGTAATAAGGATGTT